TTATTCTAATTTTCTTCTCTAGCAACGCTTTTCGGCTTTTCCGATTTCTTTATGTTTTGTTCCTTCTAATTCATAGTGGTTCCGTTCCCCACCATAACACTCTTAATTGAACATCATTATTTTCCTCTAAACGAAATACCATCGTTTTTCTCACTACAACTTTCGCTTCTACATTTCTATTATACAACCTACGATTTCGCTTCTACATTTCTATTATACAATATTTTCTGGACTTAAAATAGAGAGAATGAAATAAATAGAAGATTTTTTTAAAAATAACTGAAGTATATAACAGATTTTAAAACTATTTGAAAGTAAATCACAGTTTATCATGTAAATGTTTTATTAACAACTAGAAAAAAAAAATTCACGTAAGTTTTCTTTTTACGACTAACGTAAGTTATTTTTTACCAGTCGTAAATGAATCATTTACATAGCAAACTGCTGTTGACGGTAAAAATTTATCAACGGAGTGATGATGAGACTTTTGTGCTAATACGTGGATTTAGAGTGTAATCTAGAGCTAAAAAGAGGAAAAGAACACCGGTATTTATAGTAGTTCACCCAAATGCTAGGCTACGTCCACTGTGTGAGTAGTTTTCACTAATCGTTTTGGGAGAAATTACAATCTTCCAAAGGGAGTTTCGTGAAAAGGTATTACAATGCTATATTTTTATGATCGAGGGGATCCCCATAGATATTAAGTGATTTTTTTCTTTATATATACAATCATATTTATTTTCCGCCTAGGTCCTTGGGCCGTACTCTTATCCGGTCTTGCCATTCCTCGAAATGGTACCCTCTGATGACTGAGATGTTGGTTGGTCTCCCACGTTCTCCACTAACTCTGCATGCATTTAATGCCTGCCACATGTCTAAAAAGCTGCCACGCTGTGCGATCGTGGGTGTAGTCGGCGCCTTAGTACTCCTTGAAGCGGTCTTCGCTCCTGAGGGGAGAATAAGGTCGACCGTATGATGCACTCCCTAATGCGGTCGCCCTCTTTTTGGTTTCATCTCCTATTTATGGTCATCATTTAGAGTTGGTGTCTCGAAGAGGATATGGTCCCTTGCGATCTACTGGCCGGCCATTTAACACTTGTAATGCCATGTGGCAACCATCTAACGGCTGACGTGGAATGTAAAATTTGTGCATATAACAACTACTGTCTATTTTAAATAGTTTTAAAATAAATTGATTTCATAAATCAGCTATTTACTATAATTTCCATTTAAAATAGCCTTTAGGCCCACTAATTCCTAAGTTGTAGGAGCAAATTGGAAAGAGAAAAAAAAAAAAAAAAAAAAAACTAGAAAAGCTATTGACTCCTTCAATCTCTGATCAACAACTAGAAAAGCTACTAGAAGTATTTTAAGCAACATAGAAAAATATGTATAGATATTGCCCAGGGTAAGAGTGTGAGTTTAAAAAACATGATGTAATGGTTGTGTTTCCAAATCAAAGTAGGTAACAACTAACAAAGAGGCCAATCAACATTCAGAGAAGGAACACAAATTTAGGAAGGATGCTACCAAATTCAGCCTTGGATTGACTTTTTTCCTCAAATAAAAACTTTTCACAATAAATGCCACCAATAATATCTTTAGAGCGTATCTAGGATGCTGGATTGGATCTGGGATTTAAATCACAAATAATCCTTATCTCATGTTTGGTAGTAAACTTAGATTGGCTAAATTATCCGCTTATAAAAGGGAAAAAAAAATAGTTCCCAATGTATGGATAAGGATTTTGATATAATATATTATGTAGCCAAATATCTTGTTGTATTATAGCAAAAAAGTGAAAGTTTGACTACATAATATTATGTCAAAACCTCCCATATATGGACTAGAGTTATGGCATAACTGTGTGTTTGGAGTTGTTTTTATTTTAATTTTTACCTTTTTTAAGAAAGAAAAAATAAAAATAGAAAAGAAACGACGTTTGACATAATTAAAGACAAAAAATAGAAATGAAAATAATTTTTTAGTTTAGTGTAAAATGAAAGATAAATGAAAAACGACTTTTAGTCATTTTAATTTTTTATTTTCGTTTTCTTCTCTCTCGAGTAGAGAGAGAGAGACATTAATGGATTTTTTTTATACTGAAAATAATCTCTTGATAAAACTACTAAACACATTTTTAAAAATAATTTTTATATGAGATTAAAAATAATTTTATTTCTATTTTCATATAAAAAATAAAATTATTTTAAAATAAGTTCAAAACGCACCCTATATTATGGTTTATGGAATTTAAAAATCTTTTATAAAGTGAGTTTTTTTGTCTAGAGAGTGTTCCATAGCGAAAAAGAAAGGAGAAAAAATGTAAAGCAATAAAAGAGAAGAGGAAAAAGTTAAATTTACCGTTTATAATAGATGATGATTGACAACGATAAAAGTTAAAAACAGAAAGAAAAAAAAAAGTAAAGCACCAAAACGGTTAAGGGAAAAAAAAAAAGAAAAAGAAAAGAAAGATTTAAGCGGTAGACAAATGGAGCAAAAAAAAAAAAAGAAATAAAGAAGAAAAGTAAAGCTAAAGAAACTAAGAAAGAAAGGGAAAAAAAAAGTCAAAAAGAAAAAATTAGTAAAAAGAAAAAAAAAAGAAAGTAAAGGCAAAAAAATGAAAGAAAGCAAGCATCAAAACGGTGCGAATTAGACTACCAAAAGTGAATAGTAGAGCCTATATCAGATCTTTTATATATTTAGAAAAGAATTAGAATAGGATTTAAAATTAGAATTTATGAGAACTAAAATGGTATTTGTTTTGGACTCAAAATCCAATTTGTCCCTTTTCCCATTCTCGGTCTTCTACTATGGTTTTTTTATTTTGTTTTTCCATTCATGATAAGCTATCAATTATTGCTAACAATTTGCAGATTACATCATTTTGTTTTAAGATTCGTATAAAAGTTTAATGTGTTACTCAATCTTAGTATTTGTATCGTAATAAAAAGTTATTCATGTTTTAATGTCTCATTAGGTCAATTATGCGTCATTATAAACAAGTATAAATCGAAAAGTTTTTTCTTCGATCGGTCACAATATTTTCATTAACATAATGGATATACAAATTATGATAATGATTTAAAGCAAAATATAAACATGCAAGAAAAAAAAAAGAATTAAAAGTATCAATTTATTCCACATAGACTAGCTAAAAAAGTGCAATTTACTCCCTCATAGAATATAACATATAGGTTCATCATGAACACAATAATAATACGTTCACAACTTAAAAAAAAAAAAAAATCATTAATCATAATTTTATGTTTTCAATATGTCAATGATGTCTTTTTGAATAAGAATGAGTAGAAAAGTTTACATTACAGTATTTATAAATTCAATGTTTTAATGAAGACATAATAATAATTTAAAATTTGGAATTAAACGCAGAATTCTAACCCATAATCAAAAATTTGAGTCTAGTCATAAATATGAACAAAACCATAAAAAAAAATAAGCGACATTTTCTGATACGTCAACGTGTCAATAGGTCAGGTTTTTTATCTATTAAATATGCATAAAATTATATAAAAATAAAAAAAATATAAATTAAACGGTTAGAAAAACCTGACCTATTAATACAACAGACGTATCGAATAATCTTTCCGAAAATAATAGCATCCACGAGAAAGACAAAACCATAAAAAAACGAAATGGAAAAAATATATATTAACCGACACATCAAACGAATACAAACCAAGACACACGCGGGAGAAAAAAAAAAAAAAAAAAAAAAAAAAAAAAGGAGTGATGTAGCGTGATACCAAACTATGGAGGAGTGCAAATTCGGATGAAATATAAAAAAGTTTGCTTTTCACCAAAAAGGTGTCTCAAATTACCAAAAGTTTGCTTTTCACCAATTAGTCAAAAAAACCTTGGAGAGTTGAAATTTAAAAAATGAGCATGAGGGGGAAAGTGAGATGATAAACAAAATCCTTTCAACATTAAGCAGTTGATTGCAACATTGATTATGAGAAAAATAGCTATTTAAGTACCGATCTTAGTGGCCTAACCATATAAATTTTTTCTTTCGCAAAGAAATGTCAATCGTGCCACCCAACACATCCTACTAATTTCTCACCTATTAGATATCCAATACTCCATGTCAAATGAATTAATTATGTTTATGTACATACATATTGCTTAATAATTATTAAGAAATATGTAACATTATTAACATAAAATTATATCATAAAAACTAAAACAATATATTCATCGTGCCAATCTATCATACTTAACAGGCAAGAGGAGAACGTATAGCGGCTTATTTAGATCTCGTATTTTCCGTCGGTCAAATCAACGATTCTCATACTGTGCTTGTGTCATGCTCGTGTTTGTCATCGTGTCGTGTCATGCCAAACCCACATGCTTAAAACTATTAGTCCGACAAGACACACCACCTCATGTCGTGTTTAGTCTAACCCATTAAAATCTCGTGTCGTCTCGTTCCCAGCCTAAAATATTTCATACCATGCCATCATGCTTAATGGGCTGCCAAACCCAATTGACACCTCTATTTTTTTTTTTAGAAAATTACAAAATTTTACTATTAAGAGTCTATGAGTTTAAATTTTTACTTATCATTCTTGATTAATATCCTTTTGCTAGTATAATTATTTGACTAAAAAAAAGTTATTAATAAAGAGTAAGGATAGAAATCTAGATCCTTACATTTTTAAAGGATATTTGTCTAATTTTCTCATTGCTGATATTACATTGGTGTTAGAACTGTCCCGATTATCTTTTTGGGCTTAAACTTTGGAGCTGGGCTTCGGGCTGCTGGTATGACCCGGCCCAAGTTGACCCCTCTAAAGGAGATTATACAAATTGACATTTTTATTCTTTATCAACTACCTCTAAAATTAGTTATACAAATTCATAACCACCCACATAAGTACGAGCACATTGGGAATGATATAAAATGATATTATATCAGTAACCATAAAATAGACAGCTTGATAACATTGTTGAATTAAAGACTTATTCTAAACGCGGAGTTTAAAAATGATCATTTTGTGTAAATACTTTTATGTTCGACATATGATCAGATTTCATGTTCTACATGAAAGTGCTGCAAGTACAGAATCAAAGCAATGCAAGGTCGATGAAAGTAAGCGGGTCAAGACTCACTTGGAAGTACATTAAAGAAATGGTAGACTTCTTCTTGGTCCATTACACCAACCTCTGTCGAGCACACTTGGCAGAGAACTTGTTTGAATGTTTCACCAACAGCAGGATTTACTTCACTCTCCTCCGAGTCCCTTTGCCTTTTTATCCGTTTCGTTTTCGGGATGCTCTGCTGCAACATCCGTTCTCGTCCGACCTTGCAATTAACGACAAAAACTGCCCTGTACTGGGTCAAATATTTTTCATGCCTGGAAGAAATCAAGAACAGTTGAAACACACATCAGAAATACACTAAACCTAAGGAGAAAACAAAACTAATGGTACAGTTTAAAAATAATACATGAAGATTGAAGAATCAAGTAACTTCATATGCTTATTTCAAAATATTTTCCAGTTTCTGCTCTATAGACAGATAACTGTGTGGTCCAAACACATTCGGGGCAATGCAGCGACTCATACGTGCAACCATTTCTCCTAAGCAGATTGAGGAAACAGGGATAAATCAGAAAATGTTTTGCTCTTGCCCTGCTTGAACAACTCTGAATTTGAACAGCTCTAAATTTCATCTTTCAAAAGCTTCCGAAAATGATGACAAACCAAATTCGTTACTGCAACTGCTTTGGAAACAGAAGGTACCGCAGTGATAACGGTCACTGTTACTAGTGGCAACATGAATGGTAATTACTAGGAACCGCATGAAAAAATATAGAACATATTGTAAACTCTATAAAGATCAGATTTTATTACAGACTGCTGACAAGAACAAATTCAGGTACGTGGTCGAATTATTTGATCTTGCTAGAAGCTTATAGTTATCTACAGTCCCAAATTAGTAGCGGGGTTGCCTGTACTACTCCTTTGAACTTCAATCATTATGTTACTCTACCTCGGTTTCTCTCGTGACCTTCCGAAAATTTATAATATCATTTAGTGACTGTTAGCCTGTCATGAATGCATGGTCAATGGAAATATGTCATTACTATTTCAAAGCTCTTTGACATGGTACAGATCACGTTATGATCAAGTTTCTAAGGCCTCTTTCTCAACAATTTGAATCACACTTTAACCATTTTGCTACAGTGTTTTCTTTCACATCAATTTGAAGTTAAGTTCAAGTTTTTAAGAAAGAACGGGGCCTTTGTTTCATGTACTGATTCGGTTGACATAGAAACCATTGAACTACTTTGTTCTGCTGTATTTAAGGAAAGAGTCCCCTTTAGGAGAAATTCATTTTAGCATTACATGATAAAAATTTATGACAAATAATGGGATTGGATTCTTATCATGCCATGTCATCAAATTTCTATATTTGGTGGGTAACCATGATGGAAAAGTAACCACTGAAATCTCTCTCTCTTTCTCTGTGTGTATGTATTATATATATATATATATATGGACTTGTTTATATGAATTCTATAAGAATTCAGGAACTTCTGTTCAATCAAAACAGAAAAAGTACAACACAAGATGATGGATGAGGGATCCATCGTCAAAATAAAAGGAAAAAAAAATCTAAAAACACCTCGAAAACACAACATAAGTACTACAAGTGTTACAATCATAAACCCGATATGTTTTCCCAACTCAACATAATCAGAGAGAGTGGGAAATCCTTAAAAGATGGATCTGTCGACACCCAAAGAGAAACCAGAAATTTGGCCTTCTCAAGAAGATCTTTATCAACCATTTCGTCCTCAAATATTTGTTGATTTCTTTCCAATCACAGAACCCACATAATGGCTAAATTGACAGCTTTCTAGCTTCACATGATATAATCCTTTGAAAGCTATCCAAGAGCAAAAAATTTCTTCATTGATTGAGATTGTCTTAAGAATGATATACTCACATATGAACTAGAGGGTGCTAACTAATCCATGTCATGTTGTAGGTCTCACTCATCATCATAAATAACAATATTTTCAACCAAAAACAAGATAGACAATGCAATGTTAATGCACTCCGTTAGTGACACTTAACTCTGCAAAATCAGCAAAAACCCCAAAACTCATTTCAAATTTGTTATAATTTTCATCGAATTAGTGACACTAAAAAAGCAAGATATAACGTACAAACATACACACTTAAAACTGACAACAATAAATATGGTCAGACATAAGTTTTGTTATGTTCCTGCACCTAGAAATTCTATAATCCATCAGAAAAATGTTCACAAAAACATATTAATGCCAAGGAAAGATGCACAAAAGAAGCTATAATCAATCCTCTATCACTAAAATGTGCAAATAATTAAATAATAATTGAGAAAATAAATGTATACCTTTGACAGTCGAGAGAGAGAGTGGTGAAACAAGCTGGGCAGCTGAGAACAGCATCAGAAGTACGGCCTTTCCTCTTCTTGTGGGCCCATAACTCATCTTTATCATCAAGTTCAGGATCATAGAACTCCGGTTTCACTGAGTAGTCTATTTCTTCATCATCAGACACTGAACAACAAAAACCAAACACACCCATTAAACTTATTTGATTGCTCCAAGTTCTTTTGGCTTCCCAATAAATTAAATTCGGAAAAAACGAAAGAAAGAGAAATGCTGAAGCAAAATAAATAAATACCAGTTTGTTGAGAATTTGTGGGAGAATCCATCGTACCCTTCGTTTCTCTGTCTTTCTCTTTCTCCGGTGTCGCTCGTAAAAGAGGGAAATGGGGAAGTTTTTTTTTTTTTTTTTTTTTTTTTAATGGGATTTATGGCTAATCTAGAGCAAAAATGAAAAAACTAGAGCAATACTGAGAAAAATACTAGATTACTTTTATGGCTAATCCAGAGGAATACTGACGAAAATATATAAATATTGACTTAAAACATCCTTATTCTTAATTTTTTTTAAAAGAAAAATACTACTATTAGTGAAAGAAATGAAAAAACAAATATTAATATTAGTGAAAATATTAAAAAATATATATTAATATTAGTGAAACAAAAACGAAAAAAAAAACATATTAACACTGGTGAATACATTGTAAAATAAATTATATGAATTACAAATTATTATTTCAAAATTTTGATTTTTTTTGATATTTTAAAATATAATAAACATAAAAATTATATAAGTAAATAATTTTTTGACATAAATGAAAGAGAAAATTATACATTTTCCAGTTTAGGATTTTTACCCTTTTAATAAACTGCACCCCTTTCATTTGAATTTAAAAAGTAAAAACTATTGTTATAACTCTTTCTGAACTGACCATTTTATCCTTGATTTTACAAGGGTTGTAATTCAAATTTCTATTTTTTGTCTCAGTTTTTCTCTAAAAACCCGTTTCTCTCTCCTCTTTGTTTTCTCTCTCTAAAACATTTGTTTCTCCGTTTCTCTCTACTCTTCGTTCTCTCTCTCAGTTTCTCTCTCTAAAAAACCGTTGCTCTCCTTGTTTGACAAATTTTACCATCAAATTCAATAAAAAAATGAAGTTTGACTTTATTTAAATTTGAGCTAAAATTCTCCCTTTCTCTGTATGACGGGATGAGAGAGATCACCTGTGGTGTGGCCTGTGGTGTGGCCGGTCATATAGTAAAGAGATGCAAAAGATTTTGTTTTTAAAATTAAATAGAAAATTATATTTTAAATAATATTTAAAATAATCAATTTTTTATTGTTTTATCTTTAAGTTAAAAAAAATAGGTTCTCCTTAGTATTCTATAAATAGGAGACAATAAAAAATTAGATAACACAAATTTTGCTCTCTAACTCCTATAGTGGCCAAAATTCCTAGAGGGAGAAAATAAAAAAAAAAGTTCTTCTAAATTCCAATTCCTTCACATACATGCGTTGATAGTGAAGAAATATAAATTATCAAGTGATCAAATCTGAATAGTTCTATATTAATGCCCACACTCTAAGTCTTGCAGATTTTAAGAACTAGATGAGTAAGATTCAGATTTTCTAAGAAAGTTAAGAGCTTGGATCGCTCGTGGTCAAAGACGTCAAGTTATCCGCCTAATCAATCGTTAGGTATCTATCTTTATAAATTAATTAATTTATTATTAGATAAATTAATATACTCTATAAAGTATTCAAAAATTTTATAAAATTTTTTTGTTATACACGATCCACATATACACAATTCCGCATCCGAAATCGTCTCGGTAACCAACATTTATGTGATGTTATTGACCTAAAATTTGGCATTTTATCGTTAAAAGAGTTATCTTTTTTATATGTTTATTGTGTTGGGAGTTGGGACCTGTATATTTTTCATCTTCAAGCTTCATAAGGAGGGTCCTTCCACTATGAGAGAAGTTAAGCAGATTAGAAAAAAAAAAATGGTCAGGATGAAAAAGTAAAATTAATGTGTTTGTTTGGCTTCTTCGTTGTCTAACTTTTTTAAATACGTTTGATTCTCTTGTCAATATTGATTTTATCAAGATATTGTGATGCCTATGTTTTTAATTTCAGGATAGATAGAGAATTTGCATTTGTGATGTTTGTATATAAACATTATGGCTAGTAACTCACAAGGTTGAAGTTGATAAACATTCCTTTTTTTTTTTTTCTTTTGAAAATCTTAAAATACATAGACATATGTATCAATAGAAGCTAAACAAAAAGAAGCAACATGTACATATGTAAATGCAATAATAAATTAATAGAGTTAAATATGTACAAAGACATAATTAGAGTCAAGAAGTTTGTCTTAAAATAATAATGAGTAATAGAGTTAAATATTGTTTTTGATAGTGGAAAGTTATTGTGTTTCATTTTAGTTATAGTACCTGCGTTATTTTAGTTTCTTCTGGTATTGTCTACGTTATGATGCATGTATAGAGTTCGTTTTGTGAGCTTTTTAAAAAAATGAAAAAAAAAAAAAAAAAAAATTTGTTGCCTTAAGGCCCTTAATCAATATTATACTATTTCTTTTCCTTTATGATTTTAGTCCTTATTTTCCTTCTAAGTTTTTATTTTATTTTAATTTTTAAGTGTGTTCCTTATTCCACACATATGTATAAAAGAATTTCTTATTCCATAGCTTTTCAAGACTCTTTTGTTCATCTATTTTTTGAAGGATTTTATTCTGGAGTACTTACAATATCATCTAAAAAGTCCTCTGAGAGCATTGAATCTTTGGAGTTTAATGTACGTTGAAGAAAATGCGAATTCGAGACTTTTCATCTCATGTCACACCTCCCCTTTTGAAGGAAAAATCTCTCATTACATGATCTGTGGCTATAAGGATCAAGTTTCTATTTTAAGTCTGTTTATTTCATCGATTCGAGTTTTACTATAGTAAAAAGTTCTCAGAAACAGTTACATCTAACTGTTTTGCTACAGTAAAAAGCTCTCAGATAAAATCACATCTCAACTCAAATCAGCGAACTAAACGGGCCCTTAATATCTTTGGTCTCGCCAATTTTTTGTATGATTATGCAACTTGTCATTGATAAGTTAGCATATTTTCTTGTGCTCATGTTTGAAATTTGTCTAGCGTCTCCAGGTATTTTAAATGTGTGTGGAGTTTCCATTCTTCCCACAACTGTAGGATTTGGTTGAGAATTTGGTTGCACCCAAATGAGAGGTTCAATAAGCCCACAAGGCTAATGGTATAAATTTACGCCACATGTTGGGATTCTTGTGTGACTTAAGAGACGTTTGGTTCATGGATTATAATCATAAGATTAGAATTATTTTTTATTTATGTGTATTTTTTGTGAGAGAAAATACTGTAACGAACCATGAACCATGATTCAAATCGGGGTACGAATTTCCCAACCAAACAACCCCTTAAAATCCACAAATTAGTTTGTAACATGCTTCTATGAGCCCATTTCCTTATTGATAATGCCAAATAGACTTTTAAATGATGTACTTAATAGTCCTTGATTAATTTTTCAACCGAAATACCTATAAATGGTGTTCCATTTTCTGTCAATATTCTTTTGAGTGTACCAAATCTTCAAATGATATGTTATGAAGGAGGCTATTGCTTCGAATTTTGCCCTTTTTCAATCTGTTGTTTCATCCTACATGCAACAATTCCTCATCTAATAACTTTCTTCCTCTTTGGTGTTCACAATACATTTTTGACTCATCAATTTCTTATGGTCCCAAGCAATACAACATTTTTTTTTATCAAAACCTTTTCGATATAAGATTCCATTTACCATGAGAAATTTAAGAGTTTGCCTTATCAATGCATGTTTGTGACTCATATGTGATTAGTTTCTATAGTTAAAAAGTAGTTATTTTGGTTCTTAGTATATTTTTATTGATCATTGATTATTGATCAATGACTGTTATTCTACACTTAGAACTTGTTAGCAGTTAGAACATCAAAACCTCTCAAAGATGATTTTCAATTGCCACTTCGAGTTCTTGTGTTTTGTTTGAACAAAAGGTAAGTAGAAATTTCAACTGTATCACAAGAATGATAACTTTGACGCGTGGTGTTGACGGTGAAAATTTGTCAACAGAGTTACTTTGAGTTTAGAGGTGGTTCATATGATTTAAACAACTTAATCTTGCTTAGAGGAGGATTGTTAAATATAATTAAAGAGAAAAAAAAATGAGAAGATTTATAGTAGTTCACTCTCGTAATTCAAGGGCTACGTCCACTATGAGGAGGGAAAGATCTATCACTTATGAGCTCTGAATACTAGTTTGCTTACAGAGTTGTGAGCCTGATCTCGGCTCACCATTTTTCACATATATATCAGCTCTATTCCCCTCAATCTCTGCCATTTCCATCATTATATTTCATCATTACATCATATCACATCGTCTCATATTTTTGAATGTACCGTTGGCGGGTGGAGTGTCTGCCAATCAACAGTGGTCTTTCTCCTACTCCCCGACCAACTTTGCTTGCTTACAAGTCAAGAAAGATAACCTCCAGGTTCAGTTTTTTCTCAGGCTGCGTGCAATCGGCTCCTCAAGCACCTATCATGTCGTCTTCGCTTACGTCTGCCTGAAGCGGTCGACCAATTATCTGTCTTGACGCCTCTGTGCGGTCGACCTCTCACCTATCTTCATTCTTCTATACGATCGACCTCCCACGTTATCTTGCGGTCGGCCTCTACCAAGTTTCATTTTGCGAATACTTTATTCTGAGCTGTCATGACCATTAATCCGCCAACTTTGTCACGCGGCACCCATTTAGTGCTTGACATGGAGTGTGAGATTTTTCCTACAATAGGTGGTTTTAATGATTATATGATCAACATGCTCATTTATATGTTTGATATGTAAGCATTGATGCATGAGATAGATATTATGCACATAGTACATTTATCGAGCATGCGATTTTCTTTTATAATTATGATATTGTACCCAAAATTTGTGAAATGACATGAAAATGTTTAAAGAGTGGTTTTATGAGTTTTTTTTTGCTTTTTTTTTTTTTTTTTTTTTTTTTTGTTGATGAATTTGAAACGGGGTCAGGTAAAACAAAAGGTCTCGATGGAGACTTTTTTAACCAAGAGTTTTATGCTGATAAAGGGCTAAATCCTAGAGGAATAAGAGCTTATAAGATAAGATAAGATAAGATAAGGTGTATTTATTTATTATATTATGTCTTGAAGGAGACTTTACACCTTATCACTATTTGTCTTAATTAATGAAGACTGTCTGATGGAGTCTTGCGGTGTGGGATGCCATGACGACGTTTATGGTTTAAATGAATTGACAAAATGATACCTACTCACTCCAAAGAACCCTAAATATGCGCATATTATGTTTTAAAAATGCATGAAGGGGCATAATTATAAATTTTATATGGAAGGAATAAATATCTATTAGTTCATTTCATGCATCATTTATACTCATTAATTATTAGCTCATTTTAGATGTGATGACCTGACTTGGAGTTATATTTTACATTTTACAACGTGTTAAAAACTATGTAACCTATATTGTTTTGAAGACTTTAATATTAGTGAATTTTTTTAGAATTTCTTTAAGGGTTTGATCATGGAAATTGTGAGTATCCCGCTGCCTATGGAGTATTCCTTATCGATGATACTTGCTAAATTCTCTTAGTTGGACGTCATTAATATATCTATGAATACCCAGATCATCAATGAATTGAATTACAAGTTCTTTGGCATTACCAAACTTTTCAAGATATTTATTAAAAAAATAAGCTTATATAATTCTTGGGTATAACTTTGCTGCAATCTCTAATGGGTAAGGAGTGCGAATATCAATAGGAGTACCAATTGTTGTGTTGCTCCCTTTCGCTTTAATTACTCCTATGACCTTTTCCTTAATAATATGTCTGTTAGTTTTACCGATTCATCCTAAAAGTTTAAACTTTTAGGAGGTAGGTTAACAATAACTTTATACTTTAAAACTTCCCTTCACGTGTGAGCTGGACAATGAGCAATCGTGTGAGTAAATTAATTAGAAAGCCCAACACGTGAATATTTAAGCCCGTGATATATTAAAGACCCAATACGTGATGACAATTTAAATGGGGATAAAGAGTGTAATTACAGGAGTTTAAACTCAGGACATCCCGCTCTAATACTATGTTAGTTTTACCAGACCATCCCAAAACTTAAACGTTTAAAAGGTGAGCCAACAATAATTTTATACTTTAACAATATCCATTCAGAGCTCAAGTAGTACCACTTAATTGTTCCACTTCTCGAGCTGTCTCATTCCAATGCTTCATCCCTCAGATGGTAGCACGTCTTAATGAGTATGACAGAAAATGTCCACCATGCAAAGAAGAACATTTTTTTTTTTTTTTGGAATAAGTAAAGAAGCAATTTGAACTCAGTGGCCGAGGCAGGATTTTATTTCGGGGGTGGGAGGGTGGGCGAGCCATAAACGAAAAATGTTGAAAATGTTAAAAGCGCTACCAAATTCAACTCCTAACACTACAACAAATAGAATATCATAAGACGCTTATTTAACGACACTTTACAAAAAAATCATCGTTTAATGTGCTAAAAAATGCAGAGCAGAGACTTCTGTATTTTGAAAATTTATACGCACACATTAGATGACGATTTCTTTAAAACAGTCGTCAAAACTGCCGTCTAAAGTTGGAGGACAGTTTTCAAAAAACCGTCTTCTAATGTTAAAAATTTTCAAAAAAAAAAAAAAAAAAAAAAAAAACACTTTTTCTTGCTCATTCTTTTTCTAAAAATTTTTAAAGTTTCGATATTCTTTTATAACTCCGAGCACCCTCTTACGAACTCTGAGTTTTTCTCTCAAATCCACCATCTCTGCTAAGCTCTCTTTCTCTTCCTCACACCCTAACTCCTCTCTCTCTCAACACTTATGTGTTTTTCTTTCAAAACTCATCTCTTCTACACTCCTCACTCCCACAAATATACTTTGTTCACTTTCTCAAACCGCCACCTCCGCAATCGTTAGTCGTCATGACCTTGTTGCCATATCCGTTGCCACACCTTGGTATTTTTGTTAGTCGTCGTGACCTCAGTACTCTTAAAAAAAGTATGTTTGCTTAGATTTAGAGTTTCTTTGTATAAGTATTTTTGTTGTTAGACTTCATAGAGAAACTTTTTTACGGATTTTGAATATATATATATATATATATATTTTACTAGATGGATTTTGAATATTTGTATTACATATTAATTGATTACAAATGAGGATGAGAATTTGTAACGTTTCTTTGCAATTTTTTTGTGCGGGTTGCTTAAGAAAATATTATTTATATTTAGACTTTGTGAATAACATTTGAAAAAACCATTGTTTGAGCAAAGAACTACGTTTCAGCTAAATATTTTTTTAAAATTTTTTTGAGGCTTTTAACGACAGTTTTTATCGACGATTTTTATAAAAGTCGTTGTAGAAGTTAAAAAACCGTCATCTAACGTACATATTAGACGACGGTTAAAAACCGTCGTCATGTTTTAGACATTTAATGGCTCTTAAAATGACGACAATTTAAAAACTGTCGCCAAGACGATTTTTTAATCATCGCTAAATGTGGCTTTGTACTAGTGTAATACTATTAATTAGTTTTTTTTTTTTTTTTTTGGTTTTTTTTCTTTTGGTTTGACATACTATTACTAGTTAGAAAAATGTTATGCGCGTGCATATTGATCAATTTATGATACATAAATTTAAAATTTGGCAGAGTTTATTTTTTAAAAAATTTGAACTTTTTTATGAAAATTTGAATTTATTACTCTCTTAAGAGTTTAGTTTATTAAAAAATTATATTTGAGTAAATTGGACTAAAATGCATGTTTCAAACAAAATAGCTTTTAGACTTTGGATGAATAGCATATATGCATGGACAAATAGAACATTTTTGAGCAATAAAAATTTTAGCAAGTAAATTAGATAAAAAATCAATTTAATGGGTACGTAATATGTAAAATATATATATATATATATATATATTTGAGTATGCAGGGACATATTTAAAATATATATATATATATAACTTAAACAAAGTTAAATTAGAGAAAATATGTTTATTAGAATGTAGTAATTGAGAGGGTTATATGAAAAAAGAAAAAAATAAACTAGGGACATTTAAAAAATATTATTTTAGTGGGTCATTGATAACTTTTTTCTATTAGTCTCACTTTTGATATAATAAAGATTATATGAAAAATATTTTAGAGAGGACCATTTTAAAAAAAAAAAGGTTATCATAAGAGTAAATTAGAAAAAAGAAATCAATTTGGTACATTTAAATTCATAAGATTTAACTGGAAAATACCAAAAGGACAACAAGAAAAGAAAACCAAAAAGAAAAATTAATTGAGATTGGATTTTGTGAAAATATAGTTTAAATTTTGATTTCTAAGGAGGCCAATTGACATAATTTTTAAAAATTATAGGTTAAAAGTGAAAAATCGAAATCAAGGGGAGGCATATGTTATCTTCCTCCGCCACTGTTTGAACTAAAGAGAGAATATAAAAATTTTCCTATCTAATATAGTGTTGTTGTAAAATTCGGGGATATATGTATTAATTATATAGGTAAGGTAAATAAATAATAAAGCAAGGTGATCACTATAGAGAGAAAATACTATTATTAATTTTACACTTTCTTTTTTTCTTTTCTATTCTCTCAGAACACTTCTGTCAGTTTTCTCTCTCTCGGCTTTCTAGTTTGTTATAGTCAGAAGAAGCAAAAGGCTATTTCTAGGCCAAGGATGAAGCCATCTGCAACTTCCTCCAATACAAGTAGCTAGCTTACATCTTTTCATGCAACAAATTTCAACAAAACTATCCATAGTTAATACATGCCTTAATGAGTCCGAGTAAGTTGGAAAATGCTTCACCACTTCCTTTCTTCTATAACTGAATTCCTCACCTATTCTGCACTACTTCTAGTGTCGCCTGGGTGGAGTTAAATATATTTTGAAACATAGAAAAAATGAACGAAATGCCCAGTATGATAAGATTTATAAAACTGAATAAATAAGTAAATAAATAAAATGAGATTATCAGGCCCGGAATAATCAATCGGAACCAAACAACCTTTTTTCTGAAATTCCAGATTACAGGCAACCAGCAAGTAATTTAAGTAATTAAATTACTTACGACCAAAGTAAGGCCTTAACACCACCGTAGTGGCCCGTCCAGGTTTCGAGTTCTGTCCCTAAGGATATAATCTTCATATCTTATCTAGGCCATCAGCGGGCTTACCAGTTCGCAATGTATCTTATCTTAAGAAAATGTTCATTAAAACCTTAAAATCAGTCCATTATGAGATCAATAGTTTAAATCAAGCTATTGTCTTCAAAGTACTTTTCTTTATCAACATATCCTTATCTTTTGAAAACATTATTTGGCCGAAACACTTTAAAACAGGCTAACAAGGATATGAGAAGAATATCATACCTCTCGGATGTCAAACCTGTAGCTAACTTCTCGTCACCCTAACCTCCGCTTTCCTTAAAACTTTAATACTCAATCATCTCCACTAGCTTTATCACAAAAGCAATGTCTTAGGATATATTTCTCATTCCTAAAACGAATTAAGCTCAATCATGTGTAATTGTTTCCTATTAGTGTGTCTTGACTCAAATTCAAGTTTCACAAACGATTTTTATAATTCAGTTTTGGGGTTCTTTAAAAATTAAAATCCAATTCATGGGTTTGGTTTCCTATTTAACTTCAGTTTAAAAACAAGTTTTTACAGACATTTCGGCAGCATATAAATAGGAAAAATGCCAAACCTGCAATTCAACTTTATTTTCAAAATAAATTCTCTAGAAATCATCAAAACCAGTTTCCAATCAATTCAACAAGCCTAATAACTGAAAACCCCCAAATTTAGTTCAATTATAACAACAATTATTCAAATCCAAACCCTAACTCAAAATTATTCAAATCTCACCAAATTCTCAAATCAATAACTCAAATTCAAGTGTGGCAAAGATGCTTGGGCATACGACAAGTATGCGCCCAGTGTCATTTCATTCCACACCTATGGCAAAGATTTTCTATGTTCTTAAAAGGTTTGTTTTGTGAACCTTTTTCTTTACCATGTTTCTCCTCCTTATTCTCCCAGTTTTGGTGGTAAGGTGCAACTTTCTTAAAATTTGAGGAGTTATTACTATGACCACCCCGATGCCAAGTAATATTTCGACCATGTCCACGGCCTCGTTTATGACCATATTACGCTCATTATTTTTAAATGATGCAACATTCACTTCAGGGAATGGTACAGAACCAGTTGGATGAGATTGATGATTTTTCATCAAAAGCTCATTATTTTGTTCACCAACAAGAATACATCATATCAGTTCAGAATATTTTCTAAAACCATTCTCTCGATATTGCTACTGCAGGAGCATATTCGAGGCATGAAAAGTTAAATATGTCTTCTCTAACATTTCCTTTTCAGTAATATTTTCTTCGTATAATTTTAATAAAGAAGTTGTAACACCCGCCTTATCAGATAACATATAGATGCAGAAGAATTCACATGTAAGTGGACATGTGTCAAGATAACGAAAGAAGAAAAGTTCAAATTTTCTTCTAAGTAGACATGTGTTGAGATTAGGAAAGAAGAAAAGTTCAAATTTTCTTCTAAGTGGACACTTGTCAAGCTAAGAAAAGAAGAAAAGTTCAAATTGTCTTTTGAAAGACACTTGTCAAGTAGATGGACACTTGGAATTTGATCAATGGAAAAGATTTAGCCAAACACTTGTGATCTAAGGGTCGATATTGGATATGGAATCAATGGCTAGGATCTATCCACAGAAGCTTTGATCCAAGGGCTAGAATGTAAGATGGCATACTATAAATAGGTGATGGATTCATTCCATCCTTCATATGGAGGAAGCTAGAGAGAGAAAGTTGGAGAGATAGAGAGAAAGAGAAAATAGAAAGACATAAAGAAAGAGAGAGAAAACTGAGAGAATGATTTTCCTCTCCACCAGCAAATTTATAAGCAGACTTTTCACTGCATTACTTAAATAGTAGTATATGAAAGTTTTCAGTTTATGAAAATTAACAATTTATATATATTTGACATGTTTTCATTTGATTTAGAAAGTGTTTTAGTTTTCAGAATATGATATGAATCTTGTTTTGATTACGAACCGACTTAATTAGTAAAAATGCCAAATCCTTGAGGAACATGAAATTCTGAGACAGGGGCCACCAGATATAAAATAAAGAGGTTTTAATAACACAAGATGAATGTAAGACGGAAGGGCCCTAAAAGTTTGAAGAAAAGTATTTTCAAAGTGAAAAAGTATTTTACGATTTACTTACTGAGCTTTAGTTCATATAGTTCTCATGATGCAGGTAAGTGCTAAAGTAGAAGTTCCAGTTGATTGAGCAAAAAAGGTTCAAACTCCTTTGATGAGTTAAGAGATCCTAAGATTTGAATTTGTAATCGATTTTGTTCGAGGATTGTAATTGTGATAGATGTACTATAAAGAATTGGGTAATATTAAGAATTCTGCTCAATGATTCTATTTGCTTTCCTTCTCTCGGTTTTCGCTCTCTTTCTTTCTATCTTTTTATTTTCTCTTTTTCTCTTTCTCTTTCTAACTTCCTCCATATGAATGATGGAATGAATCCAACACCTATTTATAGTATGTCATCTTACATTATAGCCCTTAGATCAAAGCTTACGTGGATAGATCCTAGCCATTGATTCCATATCTAATATTTACCTTTGGATCGCAAGTATTTAGCTAAATCTTGGCCATTGATCAAATTCCAAGTGTCCATCAACTTGACAAGCGTCTTTCAAAAGACAATTTGAACTTTTCTTCTTTCTTAATCTCGACAAGTGTCCACTTAGAAGAAAATTTAAACTTTTCTTCTTTCCTAATCTCCATACATGTCTACTTGGAAGAAAATTTAAACTTTTCTTCTTTCCTTATCTCGACACATGTCCACTTACATATGAATTCTTCTGCATAGAGAAACCAATTCAGATCCTAGTTCATAAGGAGAAACTTTAAGGAATAAAGTAATTTCTTTAGTTAAAGTCTTGTGGCGAAATCATAATATTGAGGAAGGTACATGGTAACGTGAGGAAGATATGAGGAAAAACTTCCCCAAGTTGTTCTGATTTTCGGGACGAAAATTCTTAAAGGGGTAGATTGTAATGACCGAGAAAATCTTAGAATTAAATAATGTAAATTTATTTATATAAGTCAAGGATTTTCTCTAAGAATATCATGTCATATTGTGTGACTAAAGGATTCATGAAATTAATATCAATATTCTTAAATTCTGTAGAAAATTTTATGATTAATTATTAAAATTATGAGCAAGTAAATTCAATCAATAAATTCTTACCGCAATTAAGGCGGAAGGATTCTGAAGGAGTATACAATTTGAGAATTTTTATTTCAGGAATCTCCTAACACAGTACAATGTTAGTAGCGTATAGAAAAACGCTCTGACATTCAAAGAGAAAATCCTTAGTTTCCTAATAGATAAGGGAAATTATAAGGGTAAAGCTTTTAGTAGAAATATAAAGATACAATATGAGCTCGGGAGTTGATACCGTTAGAAATGATGTCATTTTCGGGATTAAAATTTATACAGTCTAGAAATGTTGTCAAGACTGGAACATTCTGAAATATTATGGGATTAAGAGCTTGATTCGACCTTGAATTATGTGGGGATTAGTAACGGACTATAAATAAATAGTAGAAAATGAACCATCAGAAATTAAAATTTCCTGTCAGCTAAGTTAATTCCCTACAGTCGGTATAAATCTTGACTGCTTTACATGGAATCTTAAGAGATAAGCTTAAGGAAATAAGGATGAGATTGTATTTATGAGGGGGACAAATGTTGATCAATCATTAGAGATAAGAAATTTGGGAATCTTCTCTTATTCTTCTCCAATTATGGCCGGACACGTAGATGGCCAAATGGCGATTAACGATTGGATGAGTGTAGCCGGCCAATGAGATAAGAGCACCTAATGGATAAAATTTTATCCATCATCCTTTGTTTATGTAAGTAAGATGACATCAAGTAAGTAATTAAGAATTTAATCGAGATATGATCTATTTTCCACCTCACTCTAGTTGTTAAACAAAGAAAATTAGGATTTTCGACTGATTGAGGTTGACCGACTTGAAAATGTAAGCGAGAAATTAGAATCTTCAAATTTCGAGGACGAAATTTTTAATAAGAGGGGACATTGTAACACCCGCCTTATCAGATAACATATGGCTACAGAAGAATTCACATGTAAGTGGACATGTGTCGAGATAAGAAAAGAAGAAAAGTTTAAATTTTCTTCTAAATAGACACGTGTTGGGATTAGGAAAGAAGAAAAGTTTAAATTTTCTTCTAAGTGGACACTTGTCGAGATAAGGAAAGAAGAACAACTCAAATTGTCTTTTGAAAGACACTTGTCAAGTAGATGGACACTTGAAATTTGATCAATGACAAAGATTTAGCCAAACACTTGTGATCAAAGGGTAGATATTAGATATGAAATCAATTGCTAGAATCTATCCACATAAGCTTTGATCCGAGGGCTAGAATGTAAGATGACATACTATAAATAGGTGATGGATCCATTCCATCTTCAGATGGAGGAAGCTAGAGAAAGAAAGTTGGAGAGATAGAGAGAGAAAATAGAAATACATAAATAAAGAGAGAAAACTGAGAGAAGAATTTTTCTCTTCACTAGCAAATTTATAAGTAGACTTTACACTGTATCACTTGAACAGTAGTACATGAAAGTTTTCAGTTTATGAAAAGTGTCAATTTATATATATATGACATGTTTTCACGAGATTTTGAAAGTGTTTTAATTTTCAAAATATGATATGAATCTTGTGTTGATTATGAACCGACTCAGTTAGTAAAAGGGCCAAATCCTTGAGGAACAAGAGATTTCGAGACATGGGCCACCAGATAGAAGATAAAGAGGTTCTAATAACACAAGATAAATGTCAGATAAAAAGGCCCTAAAAGTGTAAAGAAAATTATTTTTAAAGTGAAAATTATTTTACGGTTTACTTACTGAGCTTTCGCTCATATAATTATCGTGATGCAGGTAAGCTCTGAGTAGAAGTTTCAGTTGACGGTTCAAGTCCCATGACGAGTTTAAGTTAAGAGATCTTAAATTATGTAATTTGTAAACTTAAGAATTTGTTTGAGGATTGTGTTGTAATAGATGTACTATTTGAGATTTTGTAAATCTAAGAATTCTGTTCGAGGATTATACTTGTATAGAGATTATTTCTCTATTTAAGAAGTAATATAGTAAAGTAAGTTAATGTTTCTCTCGAGTTTACGTAGTTTTTAGTTGCTGGCTTGGGATGGGCGTTACATTTTAAAATTATTTTCAAAGTGGAAATTATTTTACGGTTTACTTACTGAGCTTTAGCTCATATAGCACTCGTGATGCATGTAAGCTCTCAGTAGAAGTTTCAGTTGATTGAACAATAGCGGTTCAAGTCCCATGACGAGTTTTAGTTAAGAGATCTTAAGTTATGTAATTTGTAAACTTAAGAATTTGTTCAAGGATTGTGTTTGTAATCGATGTACTATTTGAGATTTTGTAAATCTAAGAATTATGTTTGAGGATTGTACTTGATATAGAGATTATTTCTCTATTTAAGCAGTTTTATAATAAAGTAAGTTAACGTTTCTCTCGAGTTAATGTAGTTTTTAGTTGTTGGCTCGGGAGGGGTGTTACAAAAGTAATTCTGAACATTGTAAATTTATACTCGCCAACTGTTTTAAAATCCTGCAATCGCAGGTGCATCCACTCAGAGCGCGCTTTCAGTAATATTATATCATTTTGATGGTCATTCCTTTCTTTTAAACTTGTTCAAACGACAAATGGATCTTTTACCGTAAGGTATTCAGTTTTTAATCCCTCATCAAGATGATGGTGAAGGAATATCATAGTCTTAGCGCAGTCCTGCACGGACGCTTCATTTTCTTTTTTAATTGTATTTCCAAGGTTCATGGCATTAAGATAAATTTCAGCATAAAGTGTCCATAGCAAGTAATTCTTACCCGAAATATCAAGAGTAGCAAATTCAAGCTTTGTGATGTTTGACATTGGGAAAAACTATTATATCACAAGTGAAAAATTATAAGTTAGAAAATACTTCTGCAGATACAAGATATATAATAATTAACAAAAATTAATCAATAAATTGCATAATAGGATGCACATCATTCTGAATAAAATGATTTTTATATTTTTCAATAAGTAACGATGACAAATTCTTATCACATATCAGGTATACCTTTTTCTTATATATGCAAAGTTCATTTCTTTATTTTTTTTTATTACATAAATCTCCACGCCATGGCTATAGCTTCTTCATCTAATTATGAAGGAATCAATTATGAATAATAAAGAGTTATTGGCATAAATTGTCTCTAATTTATTTAGTAAGCGACAATTTAGTCTTCAACATTTTTTTTTAATAAATTGACTCCCAATTATTTAAAATAAGTGCAATGTAGTTCTTTCGTTAAGATTCGTTCAAAAGTTAACATAAGAAGTTCATGCGACCTCTTAACTTGAGATATATGTGTAAAAATATATCCTTAGTTAATTTGGGATGGTTTATACGGTCAAAGAAACACAAATAATGATTAGCAGAAGACAAAAAGAAGAAATATATAAGACTTATTCGGTTGTATTTTTGAGTTATGGTGATTTGAGTGTAGATCTTGAGTTAAATTTAAATTATAACTTGAGTTGAAATTGTAACTTGAGTTTATGTTTAAATATGCATATTTGAATTATAGTTTAAATTAAAAATTTATTTAAATTTGTGTTAAAGTGGGTCAAAACTTAAATTTATATTTAAATAATATTTTAACAAAACTCAATGGTGATAAAAAATTTTAATAGAGTATATGAGTAATATTTTATTCATTTTTTCACTGTAAACACATAAAAATTATCTCAATTAAAATTAAAATAAAAAAATTATAATATTTTTAAGAATAGAAAAAATATTATTTATTAACTTAAGTTTAAATTTAAAAATTTGAGTTGAAGAGAAAATTTAAACTTAAATTTTAATTTTAAATTTAAATTTAAACTTAAATTTAAACTTAAATTTTATAAAAAAACATAAATTTAAATAAAATTATAACATAAATTTATAGGATGTTTAGTTGGAGTATTTAAACAATGATTTGAATCATGGTTTATGGTTTGTTACAGTAATTTTTCTCATAAAAAATATACATAAATTAAAAATAATTTTAATCACATAATTATAATTCATGAACTAAACGTCTCTTTAAATTTTTTTAGTTTTATTTTAAAATAACAAAGCCCATAAAAACTCGAGCTTTTCAAGTCAAACGATCAACAATCCAGCCGAAACGAAAAAACTCAAAAGATCAACCGTACCGGGAATTTCCTTCCGCTGCCGTGGCGTAACAAAGAAGCAAGCGTCCCAACATGGAGAGACTCGAAAAGATTCCGGCCACGTAGAACACCGTCACCAATCCAAGAACCGACGGCATCAGTATGAATCCGATGAAGAAAGTCACCGATCCACACATCATCAGCGCCAACGAAATCCCTAGCAGCAGCGAAGCGAATCCCGCCGGCGAGATCTGCTACGACGAACGCCTCGACGACGGCGGCAGCGCCGGCGCAGGTAGAGAGTGATAGGAGAACGGGATCGGAGACGGAGGCAATCGAAGGATGTTGAGAACTAGAGACGAGAGCTCGTATAATACCCCGGACTGCTGATCTTGCTGCCTTCTCATCATCTTTCTTTCTTTTTCCTTCCTTTTTTCCCGAGAAAATGAAAAAAGAAAAAAGAAATTTTCCACGTTTTTGCTAAAATCAAGGCAAATGGATAGAATAGAACTCCAGAAACTCTATCCAACTGGCGTTCGCTTGATTGGAAAGGGGTACAAGTGGAGAGTTCTAATTGGCAGAGCTTTTGTTTGTTTCTCGGGAATTCTTGTCCAGATTCTCGGAAGAAAAAAGGACGAATTTAGGTTAGTTCTTTTAGAGCGTGATTTGAGTGTAATTTTTAAGTTGAATTTAAGTTATAATTTGAGTTGAAGTTATAATTTAAATAAAATTGAGTAAAATTGAATAAAATTAAAACTTAAAAGAACGTGAATTTAAATAAAGTTGTAACTTGAGTTTAAACTTTTTATGAGTTTTGTTGTAAAAAAAACAACCCTTTAGACTCTCAATTACAGAATAATTACCCCCAATTTTAACTTTTTATGAGTTTTTTTCTGTTAATTTTTAGACGAATCTTGATTAAAAGAATTAAATTACACTTATTTTAAATAATTGAGGTCAATTTATCAAAAAACAAACATTTAAAATTAGAAGCCAATAACCTATAATACAATCAAGAAAACTAATATATGGTAAAGGCAAAGAAACAAGTCAATAAGTTATAAGCATGTTATAAGGTGTTGGAAAATTTTGAAGTTTAAACAAAATTTACCTTTGCAAAGAAACAAGACGTAGATACTCCTATTGATAACATGTTGTAAAATTAGGGGATATATGTAACTTTTATATAGACAAGGTAAATAAATAGTAAAGTAAATAGATTAATATAGAGAGAAAATACTATTATTAATTTTGCACTATTTTCCTTTTCTTTTCTATTCTCTCAAATTACTTCTATCAGTTTTCTCTCTCACTCTCAAACCATCCGTAGATGGCGTTTTAGTTTGTTGTAGTCAGAAGAAGCCAAAGGCCAAGGCTATTTATAGGCCAAGGATGAAGCCAAATGCAACTTTCTCCATTACAAGTAGCTAGCATACTTCTTTTCATAACAAATTTCAACAAAACTATTATCAATGAAAGTTATTTCAATAAAACTTCTCTCATTAAAAGTTGTTACTGAAGGTGACATATGATCATCCAAATCCTCACAATAAGTGTGACCTTAATTTTTTTGTCTAATTGAAGGTGCAATAAGCTTTTTAATGTTCTAAATTATCAATGAAAGTTTTAATGTTCTAAACTATTATCAATGAAAATTGTTTGAGCAAAACTTCTTTCATTGAAAATTGTTGTTGAAAGTGACATATGATCATCTAAATCTTCACAACAAGTGTGACCTCAGTTTTTTTGTCCAACTGAAGGTGCAATAAACTTTTTAATATTCTAAATTATCAATGAAAGTTTTAATGTTGTAAACTATTATCAATGAAAATTGTTTGAGCAAAACTTCTTTCATTGAAAATTGTTGTTGAAAGTGACATATGATCATCTAAATCTTCACAACAAGTGTGACCTCAGTTTTTTTGTCCAACTGAAGGTGCAATAAACTTTTTAATATTCTAAATTATCAATGAAAGTTTTAATGTTGTAAACTATTATCAATGAAAATTGTTTGAACAAAATTTCTTTCATTGAAAATTGTTGATGAAAGTGACATATGATCATCTAAATCTTCACAACAAGTGTGACCTCAGTTTTTTTGTCCAATTAATGTTGCAATAAACTTTTTAATATTCTAAATTATCAATGAAAGTTTTAATGTTCTAAAACTATTATCAATGAAAGTTGTTTCAACAAAACTTCTCTCATTGAAAGTTGTTACTAAAAGTGACATATGATCATCCAAATCCTCACAATAAGTGTGACCTCAGTTTTTTTGTCCAATTGAAGGTGCAATAAACTTTTTAATATTTTAAATTATCAATGAAAGTTTTAATGTTCTAAAACTATTATCAATGAAAGTTGTTTTAACAAAACTTCTCTCATTAAAAGTTGTTACTAAAAGTGATATATGATCATTCAAATCTTCACAATAAGTGTGACCTCAGTTTTTTTGTCCAATTGAAGGTGCAATAAACTTTTTAATATTTTAAATTATCAATGAAAGTTTTAGGGTTTATTATTTTGGAGTTTAACTTGAGTATAATTCTTGAGTTGAATTTGAGTTAGAACTTGAGTTAAACTTGTAACTTGAGTTTGTATTTGGTTGTGTACATTTGAGTTATGGTTTGCGATAAGAATCTTTTTGAGTTTTTGTTTGAGTGAGTCAAAACTTGAATTTGTATTTAGATAGTATTTTAATAAAAACTTAATGCTGATGAAAAATTTTAATAGGGTATATAGGTCGGGTTTTATTCGTCTTTTCGTTGTCAACGCATAGAAAAAAAATCATCTCAATTAGAATTAAAACGAAAAAGTTATAGCATTTTTAAGAATAGAAAAAATATTGTTTATTAATTTGAGTTCGAGTTTCTGAACTCGAGTTAAAGGGAAAACTTAAACTCGAGTTTGAACTCGAGTTTAAACTTAAAAGAACATGAACTCGAATAAAATTATAACTCGAGTTAATTTTTTTAAGTTTTTCGTTCAAAAGAACGAGCCTTTAATGTTCTAAAACTATTATCAATGAAAATTGTTTCAACAAAACTTCTCTCATTAAAAGTTATTATTAAAAGTGATATATGATCATTTAAATCTTCACAATAAGTATGACCTCAGTTTTTTTGACCAATTGAAGGTGCAATGAACATTTTAGGGGTTGTTCTTTTGGAGTGTAATTTGAGTATAATTTTTGAGTTGAATTTAAGTTATAACTTGAGTTGAAGTTGTAACTTGAATAAAGTTGAGTAAAGTTGAATAAAGTTGGAACTTAAAAGAACATAAACTTAAATAAAATTAGAACTCGAATCGTCTTTTTTTGAGTTTTTTAGACAAAAAACAACCCCTTAATGTTCTAAATTATACGTACGCAAATGTCAGTTTCTAAACTTAGTTAAAAAATGAAGGAAAAAAAAAAAAGAGAAACTAAATTCAAGAAAAATGTATAAATTTGAAGATTTCTTGGGGAGGATTTAGAAGGAATAATTTATCAATTGAAGTTTTGCCCCAAGACACGTGACGGCATCGCGAATTTATTGTGGTCGACGAGCTTCCACGCCCGCAAATGAATTCCCGTCTCTAATCTCACGCTCACAGTGTCACTGTCCAATCCTTACTGAAATCAACAAAACAAAATAAAATTCCACACAATAAAAAATAAAATAAAAAATCAATGCCTTTTCTGTACAAACTTTTATAAATGCATATAATTTCGACGATGTTGTTGTTGACGTTCCTTCGTTTCGCAGCTCTAACAGTCCCATAACTCAATGGACACAATCGTCTCGAAATCGACGATATTACTATCCAAACCACCCATTTTCCCCGCCCGTACATCTTCCCAAACATCTTATTCTTCATCTCTCGCTTCCTTCACTTGGCCTTCCAAGAGCCTCAGTAGCTCCCGAAGCCACAGAACCCAATTGGGTTGTCGTTTTTCTTCTCGAATTCGCAAGCTTTCAGTGACTTGCGGAAGTGGGATTCGGGAGATTGACGAGACCCAGTTCTCGGATTCGGTTCTAAAGTCCGATGGCCCGGTTTTGGTGGAGTTCGTCGCCAATTGGTGCGGTCCTTGCCGGTTGATCTCCCCGGCTATTGAATGGGTTGCTCAGGTTCGGTTGTTTTACATATTCATGATCTTTTCCGTGAATTGTTTTCATGTCTCTTTGTTTTTTAAGCCTTGAAAATAGATTGTTTTGCTCAGGTTCGGTAATTTGTTTTCGTGAATTGTTTTCATGTCGTTTTGTTTTCTAAGCCTTGTGAATAGATTGTTTTGTTCTTTGACGTTAATTTATAGTAATTTGTTTTAACATATGTTTTGGAAGTTGGGGGGTTTGGTTTAACTTCCTATTTGTGTTGGGGTGGTTTAGTTTTTGAAGCTGTTGATGTAGCCAAGTTCATAGATGAAGAAATTGCTTACTAACAAGAGCGTATATTAACAGTGGTTCATCCTTGACCTTAGAGAAGAACATTGTAAGAGAATCAGACACCAAACGCCTCTAGAACTCAATATATTTTGATCTGAATTAATACCTAAAACCTTTGGCCTCATTATAAATATAATTAGGACAACCGAAATACAGGGCGATAATTAGACTCTTCACACTCAAGAAAGGAAATTATGGAGGGAATGCAGTTTTGGAAGGGAAATTATGTTTTTTTAGTTTCTGGGGAGAGTGAATGGCTTTGTTTTGAGTGGAATTCTGTTGGCCTTTTTCCAAATCATCTTTGATTTAATCATACATTAAAGGACCATTTAGGCTCGATTCTGGATACGATGGAATCAATTTCATTGCAATTTAGGTGAAGTAGTTGACAATGACACATAATAATGCATTACACTCTCTTAAAAGTGACCAGAAGAGATTGATGATGGATGGATTTAGGATAAAGAATTAGAGAAATTTCTAGTTCCTATCCAAGTTAGAGTTTTTTGCCATCAGAGTAAGGCTCTAGAAAGGAGTATATAGTAATTTGCTGGCAATTAATTCATCGGCGTCTGTGCAAGTCCTGAATGCTATGATCTTCAAGTTTGTAATCATATTCACAAGGAGGTTGGAGTACCATAACTAGCCTTCGAGGGGGTTGCTTTGATACAACTAATTGTTTACAGGCCAAGTGAGAAAGTTTCTCACTGAACAACTAGAAGATTGATTCTTCCAGAAATTTTTTATGATGGTAGAGCAGAAGGGAATTGTATCTAGGAATGTAGTATTCAATTGTGAACTCGCAAGCAGCTTACTCACCGCCATGTGAAAGCTTTACTGGGTGAACTTCTATTATTTCACTCGTAACAGGAAAAGTATAAGATATATCTTCATGTGAAAGTCTATGAACAAAAGGAATTAAGGAATGCAAGCCTTCCTTCAAGCCACTTGATTTTTTATCATTCATTTGATGGCATGTATCAACAACCACTAGGTCAGACGGCAGGTGGGGAAGGGCTTGGGTTTTGGGACTCAACGGGTTTATTCTTGCAGTATCAAAAAAAAATTCAATCTGATGGCATGGCTCCAATTTAGAAGAAGAAGCATTACCATTGCCAATCTATCCCTATGTTGACCCCCTTCTCCTCTTATGAGTAGGATTATAATTGGGGAGCGCACCAAAATCTAGAAACCGATTTTATATTTATTTAGGCAAATGTGGTTTCAAAAACAAGGGTCAAATCTCATTTCTTCAGGGTCCTTTTTTTTTTAGGTGGGAAAGTGCATCACTTTCCTAAAATTCCCTTAGGTGTACTACATTGGAACACATTTTCATTGAACACTTGAAAAAGAAAAATATTATGCATGAGTGCATATTCTTAAGTAGACTCATTGTAGCTGATTTCTGTCAATTAGCATTAAACTACGTCAGTAGTTCAGTCGTAACTGACATAAAATTAGATGTTTGATCCCTTGTCTGTGTTTTAGGAACTCACGGTTTACTTAAGTGCGACATAACGTAAACTAAACTTTATTGGCTTTGTTTTTTCTTCACTTACTGTTTTTCTGTAAACTCAGTTTTGGTTTCATACTACAAATTGCATGAATCAACTTGTATTTTTCTTACGTTGAACATTTTTTTGGCTTCAATTAATTAAACGTTTATTTTTTTTCCCAGTACCATGTTTCTTGAGCCATTAATATAATAAGAATTGACTGGTAGGTTTTTCTTTATGTCACAGGATTATTTCTTTTCTATGATGCGTTTGGTTTCCCTTGAAGGATGTACCAATCTATATAATAACTAATAAGATTCCACTCTTATTAATGCCTAACTAGTAAAAGAGTAAAAGACTCTTTTTCTTTTTTTGGTAAATATAGTAAAAGACTGTTATACCAAGTACTGATGAGTTATACTAATTTACAATTTGTCGACTGAAATTTACAGTGTCTTTTTCTGCAGAACTATGTCATAATTGGCAGTCTTTCTTTTTGTTTTTTTCCTTTTCACGTCCTAAATTTCTGTCACCGATAAACAAAGAAATTTCGAAAACTGATTTTTTTTTTTTGAAGTATTGTCATGGTTGATGTAAAACTGAATACATGTATTGTAAGTTTAGTAACTCAAATAATCAGAGTGATGAAATTTCTTTAGATGGTGTGGATATTAGAGCTTCTAAGAAGTTTAGGTACCTTGGGTCTATAGTGCAATATGAAGGAGATATAGAAGAGGATATTTAACATAGGATTAAGGCAGGGTGGGTTAAGTGGAAGAATGCTGCGGGAGTTTTATGTGATGGCAAGATGCCTATTAAGTTGAAAGGAAAGTTCTATAGGACTACAATCCGCCAAGTTATATTATATGGTAGTAAATGTTGGGCTATTAAGAGACAACATATATGTAAGATGAGTGTAGAAAAATGCATATGTTAAGATGGATGAGTGACCATACGAGAATGGGTCGCATAAGGAATGAAGTTATTCGTAGTGAAGTAGGTGTAGCACCAATAGAAGATAAGGTACGCGAAGGCCGCTTGAGGTGGTACGGGTATGTCCAATGTAGACCGCTAGAAGCACCGGTTCGTGCTTAGGAGGACATTCTTATGCCTAATACTAGGAGAGGGAGGGGTAGACCAAGAATTACGTGGACTGAAGTAGTTAGGAAAGACATTCTAGATCTAGGCATTCAGAAAAGTCTAATTTCAAACAGAGCTGCGTGAAAAAGTGAAATCCATATAGCCGACCCCAATTAAGTTGGGATTAAGGCTTGTTATTGTTGTTGTTATTGTATTGTCATGGTTGATGCAAAGAGTTGGAGAATTCGAAACACTGCATAAGAATTTGATAACTTAGGGTTGTAGACTGACACAATTATCTAATAGTAACTTGTCCAGCAATGTCTAGTAATGTCTTTAGAGTTGTGTAAAAAATTTGCAATATTTTCTGAAATATGAGTTCCTCACAAAGTACAGGAATACAAAGACAGATTAACGGTTGTAAAGATCGATCATGATGCAAACCCAAAATTAATTGAAGAATACAAAGTTTACGGCTTGCCGACTTTGATTCTATTCAAGAATGGGAAGGAAATCCCGGAAAGTAGATGGGAAGGGGCCATTACAAAGGTGAAGCTCAAAGGGTATCTTGATGCTTTGTTAGAGTCAATTTCAGTCGTATAACAGGTTTCCTTGCTTAAAAGACATGCTTGTTCTTTCAGATTTAACAATGTGAGATGTATTCCTTCCTCTTGTTCCTGTTGTTTCATCTATTATTGTACAATATTTTGTATATCCTTTGTATTTTCTAACTTGGAACTGTAGATTTGCGGAAATCTTTTATGGCACAAGATTGGAGCTATTTCAATGTATTATTCTTCTTTTCCTCTTTCTAGTACCTTTTCTTTTCTCCCCCATTTTATTTGTTCACCAAGATTTGTTCAAGCGGTTCCATAATAAAGATAATAATAACAATAACTATAGCAGCAACACTAATAATAACAATAATTATAATTATAATGACAATGATAATATAAATAATAGACTGTTGAGTGTGATCTTTTGACAAGAAAGTGAAGCAGTATTATTCATCCTCACGAGGCCATGGCCCATACTAAACCCGTCTGTATTCAGTGTGTAATAGGATTAGGATTGGATGTTTGTCTCCTTTTAAAATATGACCAACCTTTTCTCTTTAAGAAGATGTCAATTTTTTCATGGACTACCAGATAAGTTTTTTTTTTTTTTTTTTTTTTTTTGGAGATTTTCCGGTAAGCTGTTTTACTGGTAGTTTTAACTTTTAACTGTTGGATCTGGTAAAAAAACACATCAAATTAAAAAAATATGTAGAATGAACAGATTATAATATAGATTTGATAGTTGAAGAGTAAAGGATTATTGGTTGTTTAGGGACTAATAAGGAAACTTTTTTTTTTTTATTATTTGTTCAGAGATTTTGGTTAGGAGACTATTAATAGTGTGACAATTTGTCCTTTTTTGTCGATTAATCTTTGAATTTCATTGTTCAAGCACGTTTGGTTTCTGACTATTCAATTAACAATGAATTTTTAAAATTTAATCAAATTAATTACGTATGCATCGCATGATAAATTGAAATTAAAAAAAAATTTGCGCAAAATGGTATTTATAATGCCTATGAAAAAGCTTGAAAAGTAGGACATTTTTGCACATAAGACCATCTTTAATGTAAATGCTAATGTCAATTGTATATTTAGTATAAAAAATTATGATATGGTATATTATTTTATTTTTGCTCCAATGCATATTTACTATTTAAAATGCTAAATCTACTTTTTTCTATAATTATTAAGTTTTGTAAGTTGTAAAAGTAAACTTTCATTTTTAAAAAAATTAGAAAATACAAATGTTGCATTGAGTATATTGAAAAAGTAAACATTTTAACCAATAGTATTCAATGTCAAATTTCTCATATGCTATATTTGGTGAGAAATTTGTCACAAAATATAGCATATGAAAAATTTGACGCAACAAATAGTATTGCATTGGAGAGTATTTTTTACACTCAAATGTTAAATTTTTAATTGATATATTAATTATAATATTACATTGGAGATGCTCTAATACAATTTTTTCGGTAAAATTTTAAGTTTTCAGAAGATGCATGGACAATTGCTTCCACTGAATTTAAAAAGTTTGTCTTAATTTTATTGTAAGGGATTGAACTTGCGCAAAAAAAAATAATAATAATAATAATAAATAAATAAAATAAAGGGTTTTTAACACATTTGTCCCCTAAATTTATCGTAGGTTAGCAAATTATCCCTCAAATTTTTAATTTTGGCAAGTTGCTTTTAACTTGTAAAGTTGTTGCAATATGTCATATTTTGACAATGATTGTGCAAAATTAGTGTCAAAAAAGCACATTTAATAAAAAAATTTAAACATTCCAATTCAAATATAACACCAATCTTTTAATATCTCAACTTTTATTCCCTTAAATCTAATAAAAAATTTGAGTAAATTTAGTTAAATGGGGTACATTGTAACAAATTTACAAATTAAGGAAAAACTTATCAAAATTAAAATTTTAAGAGGTAATTTGCCAAACAACGACAAGTTTAGGGACAATTGTGCCTAAAACTAAAAATTAAAATAAAATAATAAACTAATTGTTCATAAAGCTAAGAGACCAGCCATCACTGTTAAAAAAGTTCACGGATCGATATTGTTGAAAACTCGTTGTAGATCTGTATTCTTACATTGCATTGCTTTCATTTTTTTTCTTGGACATTTTACAAATTTACCCCTAAACTTGTATAGTTATAGCAATTTCTCCTTAAACTATTAATTTTGATAAGTTATCCACTCAACTTATAAACTTGTTGCAATACATCTCAATTCAAATGTGACATAAATCTTTTAATTTCTCAATTTTTATTCCTTTGAATAAAAAACATTGAGCATATTTAGTAAAACTTAGTTAAATAGGGCATATTGCATCATTTTTACAAGTTCAGGGGTTTATTGTCAAAAATTAAAGTTTAAGAAGCAATTTGCTAAATCACAACAAGTTCGGAGAGTAATTGTGTTAAAAACCATTTTTTTCTTTGACCACGTTTTCAACAGCATTTGAAATCCATCACTTTTCACCAAACTTAGTAGACAAAGTAGGTTTTTTTTTTCCATTTTATAAAGTTTATAACCATACTTAATTAATTTCCAGGTTTCTCCCTATCCACAATTTTGTCATTGTTTAATCTTATCCTTCTTCCTTGCCAAATTTAGATGGTCATCATCAACAATGTGAAAAGGTCTTGACTATATCACCTTGATCAGATTATCTAAATAGAGGAAATAGTTATCAATCTTATTTTTTTTATGCGATCTGAGATTAGTTAGTTAGGGTTTTTGACACTTTTAGCTTCCAGACATTTCTTTCAATAACTTGTCTTCTGAGCTTCTAATTTTGATAATGCATACCATCGACTCGTTAAATGGTTGAGGATTAGGGAATGAGAGACTTGTGTTAGAATTTGAATTAAGCTTTCTAAAATAGGTCAGATTACAATCGTTAAGCAAGTTCTTTGTTTGCTCTTTTGTTTTTTTGTTTTTTTGTTTTTTTGTTTTTTTGTTTTTTTGTTGGTAGGGTGTAAATTGCCAAAATCCGAAGTTTATGAGAAAGTTGCCCGAGCCTAAAAGTTCAGGGGTAAATGTGCTAAAATCCTAGTTAATTCTTACTTGTACTAGCAACAAACCTAATATGATTAGAATTTTGGTTAAGAATGACAACCATGCATATAATAGAGTAATATAATAGTAAGGAGAAAAACAATAAACTGGTGTTAAGACAAATATATATATATATATATATTAAAACATTGATACACTATTCTATTTTTTTCAACTCCTTAGAGGAACTTGTTTCAGGAAGGAACGTGACAAAGAATAAGTTCAAAAGGAAATTATTCAATTGTAATAATAAATAAGTGCATATGTTCAAAATCTATAGCAAAAGTAAGTGATTTTTTTTTTCTTTTATTCTTGTTTTTCAACCGAACAATTTGAAAAAGGATTACAATGAAATATCAAATGTTACAAGAGAGGTTTAGAAATAAATATACGATCAATTCTTAGAAGAAAAAGAAAAAAAGGAATAAGTACTAAAAATTAAGATTGTCAAAATAAATATTTTTGACTAAAACTTAAGAAATAAGTTTTTTTTTTTTTTTAAAGAAAAAAAGAAAACTAATTAATATGTTCAATGTTTTGAGGTGCAAAGACAAGATAATTAGTTAATGATTCTAATAATAGCGGCCTTGACTTAAGCGGGGCCTTAAGCGGGCATTGTTATCTAATTAGAGTTTATCTGTAAAACCAAATGCAAGCCATAAGATTGAGATACATAATCCTATTTTTACAACAAATTTGTTATCAAGGAATACGGATTAGGGATGGCTCAAATAAGAATAGAGGGCCTATATAAACGACATGCCAAAACTTAGGAAGCCATAAAGGAGGAAGGTAGAGACAGATTTACATAGCTGGGCGGATGTAACTTGAAGGGGGAAAAAAAAATACCCATCTTTCTTTTCTAGTGAATATATAATTAGGATTCAAATATATATTCACTTAAGAACATAGAGAACTGAGAAAGTTAGATACTTGCAAGAAAAGAAAGATGGCAGGAGGTGCTTTTGTTGCTCAAGGAGGGAGGAACTATGAAGGCGGCGTTACCGTCTTCGTCATTGTCACTTGCTTGGTCGCCGCCATGGGGGGTCTCATTTTCGGTTACGATCTCGGAATTTCGGGTAATTTATTTCCTTAAAACCTTCCTATGCAGCAGTAAAAGCAGGGTTCTATGTAACAATGCCTTTGTGAAAATATGACAACAAAAAAGATATAGATCAATGTTACACCTTTTAAGACGTGACATTATTTAGATTAGTTAGTATGTGAAAAAAAATATATATATTCAAAATCAAAAATTAATGGTTATACATACTTTGTATTTAAAACTTGATGAGCCATTACTATCAAGTAACAAATCTTGCGACACAAATACCATAATGTCAAGTCTTGAGGGGCTTGAAAATTTTCATCGATCTTGTTTCGAAATTATTGCAGGAGGGGTCACCTCAATGGAGCAGTTCTTGACCAAGTTCTTCCCATCGGTACACAAGAAGATGACAAACGAAAGCGGCGAACAGAACGCATACTGCAAGTTGGACAGCCACCTGTTTACGCTCTTCACCTCGTCCCTCTACCTCGCTGCGTTAGTAGCTTCCTTCTTTGCTTCCTCGATTACTAGGGTCTTCGGCAGGAAGCCCACCATGTTCTTGGGAGGTTTGGTGTTTTTGATCGGCTCCATTCTGAATGGTGTCGCCGAGGGCATCATAGTCCTCATTGTTGGTCGTCTGTTGCTTGGTGTGGGTGTTGGTTTCGCCAATCAGGTACATAATGATTTTTTGTTTTGTTTTATCTAAACGTGGTACTAGTTTTGGTACATTCTTTACATGATATTTTATATTTTCTTAGTATACTGTTATCTAGCATAGTTTAGATTTAATTTCTAGAAAAAGATACAGGTCAGTTGGAATATGAATCAACAAGGTTTCTTTGTGATAATTTAGCATTTTCTTTACCTTTGTTTTACGCACGGCAGTCCGTACCAGTTTACCTATCAGAAATGGCACCAGCAAAACTCAGGGGAGCACTCAACATGGGGTTCCAAATGGCCATCACCATCGGTATTCTGGTGGCCAACCTTGTGAACTATGGGACAGCCAAGATCAAGGGTGGCTGGGGATGGAGAGTCTCATTGGCACTGGCCGCCGTCCCTGCTATCATGATGACAGTTGGTGCCTTTTTCTTGCCCGAAACTCCCAACTCCATCCTCGAAAGAGGCAATCAAGAGAAGGCCAAGAAGATGCTGCAGAGAATCCGTGGCACTAACAACATCGAGGAGGAGTTCCAGGACCTTCTAGAAGCTAGCGAGGCTGCAAAGAAAGTGCAACACCCATGGACGAACATCCTTCAACCCAAATACAGGCCTCAGCTTGTGATCTGCTCTCTTATCCCTTTCTTCCAGCAGCTCACTGGCATTAATGTTATCATGTTCTACGCTCCCGTCCTTTTCCTGACTTTGGGATTCGGGGACGAAGCTTCTCTCATGTCTGCTGTTATTACCGGCATCGTCAATGTCGTTGCCACTGTGGTCTCCATCGTCACTGTTGACAAGTTCGGTAGGAGGATTTTGTTCCTTGAAGGTGGTATCCAAATGATCATTTGTCAGGTAATCTCAAGGACATATTTCTTTGAAAATCTGTGCTTTTATTATCATTCTCAGTTCTACTTGATGGATTTGTGAAAACCACATTGGTAGATATCATAATTCAGATTTGTCCTTTAGCAGAGTAAGAGACCTTAATATTGTGTGTTTCAACCACAACAATGAGTAAAGATTGTATATCTAAATTACAACTCACATGTTTGAGTTCATGCTGATTTCAATAGATCGGTGTCGGAGTGATGATTGGCTTGAAGTTTGGCCTCAAAGGAGTAGGAACATTGTCAAGCACCGAAGCCAACCTTGTGTTGTTCATGATCTGTGCCTATGTGGCAGCATTCGCCTGGTCATGGGGCCCATTGGGTTGGTTGGTTCCAAGTGAGATCTGCCCATTGGAGATCCGCTCAGCCGGGCAAGCCATCAACGTCTCAGTCAACATGTTCTTCACCTTCATCATTGCTCAGGGCTTCCTCGCCATGCTTTGCCACATGAAGTTTGGTCTCTTCTTCTTCTTCGCCGGATTTGTGTTGATAATGACAATCTTTGTGGCCCTCTTCATGCCTGAAACGAAGAACGTCCCGATTGAAGAGATGAACAGAGTGTGGAAAGCACACTGGTTCTGGGGAAAGTACATACCAGATGAGGCTGTTATTGGTGGTAATGTTGACAAGACCACCGGCCGTGTATAGAGATTGCTTCGTGTGGAGCGCTTTATGTTGTGCTACTTATTGTAAGCTCAAAAGGTGACAAAGTAGAAGATTTAAGATGTTATAACTAAAGCGTGAGGAATGAAGGAAAATGTTTTAAGGGAAGATTAGAATTTCTTTTCTTCTTTTTGTTTCTCTTTTTGTCTCCAAAAATAAAATGCAAGGAAATAATTGAAAGTATTGTATTTAAAACTTTTGTACGTCTCCATTTTGTAAGGACCAAAAGAGGAAAACGAAGAGAAAAAGAATTTTAGCAAATGTTTTATCTATGAAGATCTCCTTTCTCCATTTCATGCATATATTTGGGGGAAAAAAAAATCCAATCACTGAGAGAAAAAAAAAAAAAATCTGAGGCTAAATTTTATCATCCCTTATGAAAGTAACATAAACATCAATACAATGTTTCATAGCAAAAACATAAATACAATGTGGTAAAAGAGTAAAAGCTAAACTTGTTGGGAAAATTCGGATTTGAGAGGATGAAAAGAATAGAGAATTCAGAAAGAAGGGTTTGAGGCGTATAGGAATATTTTCCTTTAAGGTTTTATTTGCCCTCACTTCTCAAAGTTTGCTAACGAGTTCTAAATGGCAAATTACCCCCAAGATACAACAAACCCTTGAACACAATATCCAGCAAAAATATTGAGTTTCAGAACAATGTATATCAATCTGTATTTTCTGAAGTCCATCATATAAAGACAGGGATGCGTTCATTCTCTTTAAGTGTTACAACCTTTCACATAAAGATACCTTTTCAATTTGATGGTTATCTTTTATATGCTGATACACTTATAACAATAGTTATTTCTATTGTTAATAAGTACTCAGATATGTGAGAAAACATATCACAAATAGATGCAATGGTTCGAGACCTTTTCAGATCACTAAACCACACGAACACATTTTCCGTCGAAGATTTGCGCTGCAGCGCTCAAACGCGCGCTGCAACGCGCCCGTGCGCTGCAGCGCACTCTGCTGTGCGCTGCAGCGCGCGTGCCTAGCAAAACAGACCCGAGGGTCTGTTTTGCGCAGGCTGCAGCGCCCAAACGCGCGCTGCAGCGCGCCCGTGCACTGCAGCGCACGCTTCTGTGCGCTGCAGCACGTGTGCCTAGCAAAACAGACCCGAGGGTCTGTTTTGCGCAGGCTGCAGCGCCCAAACGCGCGCTGCAGCGCGCCCGTGCACTGCAGCGCACGCTTCTGTGCGCTGCAGCACGTGTGCCTAGCAAAACAGACCCGAGGGTCTGTTTTGCGCAGGCTGCAGCGCCCAAACGCGCGCTGCAGCGCGTCCGTGCGCTGCAGCGCGCAAGAGTGCGCGCTGCAGCGCGTGCTTGCGTCAGCCTACTCTTTCCGAATGTGTTTTAATCCAATTTTGTGATATCAAGATTGAGAGATATATTACAATCTCTCTAACAATCCCCCACTAGATTGTAATATTTCTTCAGAATTAACAACGATAAACACATACATACATGAAGGTATCTTTCGATTTTAACCTTTACTTAGTGACTATACTTCAAAGTATTCACAAGACAAAAGTGTGCTTTGCATTAAACTTTGTCTCTTAAGTAAATACCG